AAAACATATATCCGAAATACTTAAAACTTCAAAAGGCTAAAGGGTGGGAAAAGTTATATACCATTTATTAATAGGTATCATACCAAAAAATATGTAATACAATGGGTACGTTTAAGAACAAAGCGATTGTAAGCGCTCCCAATGAGGATTAGAAAGCAGTTACGACAGGTTCTGTTGCACAAAAAATTCCACGTGGGCGTCAACTGCTTCGCAGCCAGCAAAAGTGGCTTTAAGAGCAACGAACAAGTAGATAGCTTATTTTTTAATCACTTTTATAACGTAGTATAATTTTAGACTAATCTTTCAACATTAAGTCATAAAAAGAAAGGGCCAGGTATGCCTCCTCCGCCAATGGTACCGGGAAAACATAACTTGGATGTTAATACATGGGAATTACCAAACAATAATCCTCCTCCTCTACCATTTGCACCTTCCTTCCCTGTACCAATTATAAGTTAGTGTTGGATGTGATTATAAAATAAAAGAGAAGGCTGACAGAAGTCACAATGGAAGTCAATATATTCGAGCAGAAAATAATACAGGAAATTACTGCAAAAAATAAAACAAGCATATTTTGAAAATTCCCTTAGAAAAAATATAAATGTACTTAGTATTCCAAAATAACAAAAGAAATAAATTCACAAATGTATGTACTTATAACAGGTGATCAAAGTAGAGGATCTTTTTTTAAAGTTATCTTTATACTATTGTTTGGCATGGGAAGACTTATGCCTGAACAACGTTTACAAATCGTTAAGCGAAATTACGAAAATTCACGTTCTGTAAAAAATGTGTTTCGCTTCCTTCGCTCAACTTATGGTCAAGATAATCTACCTACTGAACGTACTATTCGCAACACCCGAACTCATCCATCTTGAGACCCAGCATTCATTATTGTATAATAGTCGACCAAATAGACCACGTCCAGCACTCAGTGAAGAAAATATATCGGCCGTATCTGAGGGTGGAGAGACCGTGGAGAGTCCATTCGGCGCCGTTCGCAGCAACTCGGCGTATGGAACGACTTGGCGCATTTTACAAACAACGGCTTGGTGTGGTTTTTGAGCCGGTGGAATCATCGGTCAATACTTCTTCAAAAATGATGCCGGCTCGGCGTTCAGTTCAGCGGGATTCTCGAATAACGATAGTCTCGATTAACGATCGATTCTAATGATTAAAATTCGTTAGCTGATTGGTATTTTATCAATAAACACAGCCAAATATGCTACAAAGCTAACTTCAAATAAGTAAGGAAGTTCTAAGTTCGGGTGGTAACCGAATATTTTATACTCTCGCAACTTGCAAGGTTAAAAGCCAGGGAAATACCTTCAGATGCATACGGTTTGTTAGAACAAAGAAAGTCAATATTTGTAGTATATGATAGTTTAGGTAATTTGTGAACCAATTTCACATATTTTCGGCATTAAACTATAGTATATTCAATATTATACTTCCAGTAAATTTTGTTATGGTATTTTACTTCTTTGCTGAAATATGCGGTATAAAATCACCTGGAAGTTCAAAAATCTTTATATCAGGTATATTATAAATATATATTAACCCATTTTTGACATACTATCATCGGGAAAGGATCCTCTCCGAATTTAAATTATATATCTCCCACATTGACCGATATTTTCGGTAAAAAGTCAGCTAGAAGCACTGCTGCTCACATATTCAGTACCTAGGGGCTTGACAATTTAGACAATTTTTGGTCACAAGGTGGCACACTTTAAACGCATTATTCACGCAAAGGTTTACCCCGATATAATCATTATTGCTTGATTTGCATACTGGAAAATGAAAGAATAAAATAGAATTTATAATGGTGTTATATGGGAAATTGACGTGGTTGTAATCCGATTTCGCCTATTTTCACACTATAGCATAGAAATATGAGAGGAATGTTATGTACCGTTTGGTTGAAAATATGGGTTTCCACCTAAAAGTTATTTATCGCGCTTTTAGTAGTTTTTAACAGTACCGTTATATGGGGGATGGGCGGAGTTGCCACCCGATTTCAACTATTTTCACACTGTAGGTAGAGGTTCTAAAAACATTTGCTTCCAGTGAATTTGGTTATTATAGCATTAGCGGTTTAGGAGATATACACATTAAACCTATTAGGGAGCGGGACCACGCCCACTTAAAAAAAATGTATGTGCAGATGCCCCTCGCTAATGTGATCCTGTATACCAAATAACTGTCTTGTATCATATTATAGCGCATAATTATGGCAATTTATTTGTTTTTGATTAATGGCGTTTTGTGGGCGTGGCACTGGTCCGATTACACCAATACCAACCGTCTTACAGTACCAAGTAACATGTGTACCAAGTTTCACAAAGATATCTCAACAGCACAGACGGACGGACAGACAGTCATCCGAATTTAAAATCGCCTCTTCATCCTGATCATTTATACATATACAACCTATATCTAACTCGATTAGTTTAAGGTGATACAAACAACCGTTAGGTGAACAAAACTATTATATTCTCAACATATTGCGATAGTATAAAAATGGACAAAACTGTATAGAGTGTTTTAATTTCTACTCCGTAATGTTTGTTGGTTCAGATGTGACACCTGGCATTGACAACTGATTGATGGTTAGAAATATACATGAAAGTTATAGTTTACTACAATTATTATTTTCGAATGTCGTCTTGCGGATGGAACGGAATAATATAAAATTTGCGATTAAAAATCTGGGGTTAATCGTACAAGGGGAAATTAAAAATTGTATATATTTTTCAATGATGAATCATGTAAAAATAAAAACCAAAAATTATGTCTAGAAAACAAACAAATAATAATATTTGGGGTGGACCACCTTAAACATTTAAGGGTAAAAAAAAAGATGTTGGCCGATTCTCAGACTTACCCGCCAGCCCTTTTGCGGCAATTTGGCAGCAAGCCCCGTGACACCAGAATGTTATGTATATAATAGATATTTATTAAGATATTTATTTAAGTATATGTATAAAAATTACATGTCACGTTTTCTCCAGGGTTAACTCCTAAACTGAACCCTTTTTAGTAAAATTAAGCACACTGTGTTCAATTTATCCAACTTAAGAGATAGGATAGTTTATATCTTCATTATGTTGAATTTAAACAATTCATAAATATAAAAAAAATATATATTTCTAAGCAGCGTAATCTTTTCAAAATTCAAAAATATAAAATAAAACTTTTAGTAAAATGCCAACTAAAAAATGCATTATTTTTTCAATAGACTAATATTTAAATGGATAATTTGGAAAATTGTATGCAAATAACTCGTATTCCAGTAATTTTCACTACATTACCCAAACCTTCAATGGAGGAAGTACAACCGCTCGTTCATTATTAAAAACCTTTTACTATCATTAGAATTTTTGTATGAAAGTTCCAGTAGATTCCAGTTAAGTTTTTTTCGTATGCCCGACAGTCTTTATCTCAACATTTTCGCCGTTAAAGTTAAGATAAAATTTAACGTTCATTTTAATATTTATTCACTTTTTCGCAAAA